AAAAAAAAAAATTAGCCAGGGATGGTGACATGAGCCAGTACCTCTGGCAACTTGAGAGGCGGAGGGAGGAGGATCACTTGCGCTCAGGAGTTTGAGGTTGCAGTGGGTTGCAACCCACAGGAACTATATTAAAGGCTCATGGCATTAGGAAGGTTAAGAACCATTGGTCTGTATGAAGAGAAACTTCCAGGGCCAAGAGTTCACACTTACCAGAATACAGTAAATATATTACTTTTAAGACATAGGATGGGATAGGCATAGTAGCTCATGCCTATATCCCTAGTACTCTGGGAGGCCACAATGGGAAGATTGCTTACGCTTAGGAGTTTGAAATCAGCCTAAGCAAAAGTGAGACTCTACCCCTACTAAAATAGAAAAATTAGCTGGGTGTTGTAGCAGGTAACTGTAGTTCCAGCTACTTGGGAGGCTAAGGCAGGAGGACTGCTTGAACCTAGCAGGGAGTTTGAGGTTGCTGTGAGGTATGCTGATGCCATGACACGCTAACCTTGGGCAAGAGAGTGAGACTGTCTTTTTTTTTTTTTGAGACAGAGCCTTAAGCTGTCGCCCTGGGTAAAGTGCCGTGCCATCACAGCTCACAGAAATCTCCAAGTCCTGGGCTCAAGCTATTCTCCTGCCTCTGCCTCCCAAGTAGCTGGGACTACATTTTTTGGTTGTAGTCGTCATTGTTGTTTGGCAGGCCTGGGCTGGATTTGAACCTGCCAGCTCAGGGGCATGTGGCTGGCACCTTAGCTGCTTGAGCCACAAGTGCTGAGCCTGAGTGGGACTGTCTTAACCTGTCCCCCACCCACCAAAAAATGTAGGACTAAATGAGTTGTTTATGGAGAAAGCACTGCAAAAAAAACAGAAAGAGGGCTCGGGATTAGGTCTACACTGCACTCCCAAATGTAAAGAATGCATGAAGGGAGCTGGCATCCAGAGACTGAAATGAGATGGGAATGAAATAGGAAGAAGCCAAGACTCAAAAACATTGAAAATTTCCATACAAAGTTTTAAAAAGAGGAATGAGGAGAGGAAGGAGAGCAAGGAGGCAGAGGAGAAAGAAGAGGACAATATAGAATTCTACTGAGAATCAGAATAAAATCAAGGAAAACAGCAAAACAGCTAAAATGCTATTGTGATAAATAAACTCAACCTAAGAATTTTAAGTGTCTATTAAGTGACTAAGAAGTAAGATAAAAAAGATAGCAAAGGTAAGGCTGCTTCTTCAGATAATTACTTGCAGCCTGCTGCTGAAGCTCTCCTTTATTCCAGAGTGGCAGACTAAACTAACAGAGTTAAAGGCCTAAAGTGAAAAAGACTCCATAATCGTGAAAGGCCTTAAACCGTAAAACTCCAAATTGTATACAAAGTTACTATTTCTATAACTTGGGAAAGGAGACATGACAGTTTCATTACCCTCATCTCTACACTCTTGATAGGATTACAGGTTTTTATAGTAAGTACATATTAAAAAAACAGTAAGAAAACTGGAGGGAGTCATATTCATTATATTTACTTTCCCAAAGTAAAACAAAATTTTAAAAATATTATCCAGTAACATATTTTAGTTGAAGAGCAAAACAACCAGACTTACCAAATTTTTTGCAGAAAAGCTGATCTACCATCTTTCTTAATTTAGTGATTCTGGCATACCACTCTTCCTTTACTGTAAAAATAACAAATATACAAATATTCTCAATATAATAGATTTAATAACTTAGGTTTTTAAATATTATGATTACAAAATAGTATTGTTTCCTTTTCTTGTGACTAAAATCATTTCTAAAATTTCAGAATGTATTTATTACTAAAAGAATGTTGACACTGAACTAAAAGATAAGAACCAAACAAAGCTCATTAAAGGTAGGAAAGAATAGAAATCAGTCTATTCAGTAACAGTTAGTAGGTGATTTTTGCTATCATAAATTTAGGGATATGACAGTGTTGGCAATATTCCAATTATACCTCATCTGAAAATCTTCATCTAAATCTCACTTTTGTTATGTTACCCCATCCCACTCCCCTCCAGAGCAAAAGGAGGCAAGAAAATAAATGATGGGGCTGGGCCCAGTGATGCCTGTAATCCTAGCATTCTGGGAGGCCCAGGTGAGTGGATTGTTTGAGCTTAGGAGTTCAAGACCAGCCTAAGCAAGAGCGAGACCTCATCACTAAAAATAGCCAGGCATCATGGTGGGCGACTATAGTCCCAGTACCTTGGGAGGCTGAAGCAAGAGGATCGCTTGAGCCCAAGAGTTTGAGGTTGCTGTGAGTTGTGATGCCACAGCACTCTACTGAGGGCGACAAAGTGAGACTGACTCAAAAAATAAAAATAAAATGAAATAAAATGGAAAATAATGTATTTTCTTCAAAATACATCCAACAAGCAAGAAATGTAGCTATGATTCCATGCTCTTAAAAAGTAAACGTATCTATGTCTAGGGTACAATAAACACTTGATGCATAATTATTTGACTCATGGAGACTAATGTAGAATACCTATTTAATACATTATCCTAGATAACAACTACTGCATCTCAAAAGTAGAAAACACATGGTTCTTTTATTTCTATCTATCCAGAAATGCTATGTTTACATAAATAGGTTAGTAAGAAAATGAGCTTATATTTCTAGATTACTAGAATTTTGACAATGTGAATTTTCCTGTAATGCCATATAATTAATAGTTAAAGAAATATTATTTCATGTGGAAGGTAACATGAAGAGGAAATCTATGTTCCTTTAAGCAGTAAATAATTATTATACTTAATGCTCTAATCTGACACAAGACTAGAACTACCTCCAGAAGCTGGTTTATCAAGCTGTAAATCTTCACGCGTTGAATTCAGAAGTTCGTGTCTGAAAGGTAAAAATAAGTACTAAATATTCAGTAGGCAATATTAAGAAAAGTACTGTTAGTTCATGTTTAATATTCAGTCACAAAAGCCAATTTTAAGAAGACAATCTCAGTGTTTTGACTACAACTAAATGTTAACTTTTTGAGGTTTCCAAAGAGTAATAAAATAATTGCAAACTGTCTCATAAGGTGCTTCATTAAGCATATGTTCTCAGTATAAAAGCAATGACTTTGCAACCCAAAAGAACTTTATAAATGTATCACAAAAAATTAAGTGGGATACTTTCATATCACATTAAATTCAAGACTACCTTCTTACTGCTCGGAACCCATAGCACAGCAGTTACAGTGTCAGGGAGAGTGGTAGATTCAAACCCGGCCCAGGCCAACTACACAACTGCAAGGAAAAAATAGCCAGGTGTTGTGGCAGGTGCCTGTAGTCCCAGCTACTTGGGAGGCTGAGGCAAGAGAATCACTTAAGCCCAAGAGTTTGAGGTTGCTGTGAGCTGGGATGCCACAGCACTCTACCGAGGGCAACATAGTAAGACTATGTCTCAAAAAAAAGAGACTACTTTCTTCCATTCATCTACAAACCAGCATAAAAAATCTAGATATGGCTCAGCGCCTATGGCTCAAGTGGCTAAGGTGCCAGCTACATACACCTAAAGTGGTGGGTTTGAATCCAGCCCAGCCTGCCAAATAATGACGGCTGCAACCAAAAAATAACAGAGTGTTGTGGCGGGCGCCTGTGGTCCCATCTACTTGGGAGGCTGAGGCAGGAGACTCGCTTGAGCCAAGGAGTTGGAAGTTGCTGTGAGCTGTGATGCCACCACACTCTACTCAGGGGGACAGCTTGAGGCTCTGTCTCAAAAAAAAAAAAAAAAAGTCTAAATATATTTCAATACTCATTTGGTAAGATAGAATTTTCACTTACTTTTCATAATAACCAAATAGCCAATAAAGCAATTTACTTTTTTTATTTTTTATTTTATTGTTTTGAGACAGAGCCTCAAGCTGTTGCCCTGGGTAGAGTGCAATGGCATCACAGCTCACAGCAACCTCTAACTCCTGGGCTTAAGCGATTCTCTTGCCTCAGTCTCCCAAGTAGCTGGGACTACAGACACTCACCACAATGCCTGGCTATTTTTTGGTTGTAGTTGTTGATATTTGGCAGGCCCAGTCTGGATTTGAACCCGCGAGTTCTGGTATATGTGCAGGCACCTCAGCCGCTTGAGCTATAGGCGGCTACAAGCCCAATAAAGTAATTTATAAGTTACACAATTTTTACAATATAACTCTCACACACCCTTACGAATCTAGTTTGTTGTAATGGCCTCACTTAAGGGTGAGGGAAGAATCACAAGCAAGCACAACCATACTTATATTAGCAATAATACCTGAGACATTAGAAACTGATATAATAAGGTCAGGGATATATGTAATACTTGAGTAGTATTAGTGGACTATGAAAGAGAACATTTGCTCAACTCTGTAGAATGACCCTTTTGAATAAATAAAGTCTGTAGTAACTTAACTTATATCAAGAACGACTACACAGGCTCGGTGACCATAGCTCAGTGGTTATGGTGCCAGCCCCATACACCGAGGCTGACGGGTTCCCACCCAGCCTGGGCCTGCTAAACAAGGATAACAACTGCAACAGTAACAACAACAACAACAAAAAATAGCTGGGACTGTGGCAGGTGCCTGTAGTGCCAGCTACTTGTGAGGCTGAGGCAAAAGAATAGCTTAAGCCCAAGAGTTTGAAGTTGCAGAGAGCTGTGAGTTGCAGAGAGGGTGCCACAGCACCCTACCGAGGGTGACCAATTAAGACTCTGTCTCAACAACAACAACAAAAAAAGAATGACTACACAGCCCTTTAAGGAATGGCTAAAAAATCCATTGTTGCTAAATATAAAAGATGGATTCCCATAAATGAGTATACTAAAAATACTTGAAACAAGATATGGAAAGCATAAACTACCTTATGATAAGCTTACACCTGAATGTTTTAATGTTACTGAAACATCAAAAAATGTTAAAGTTATACATGCTATTAAGACTAGGAAATATGAACATATAAAATAATTTGTACAGTTTATTTAAAACTTCTTTTTTTTTTTTTGAGACAGAGCCTCAAGCTGTCCCTCTGGGTAGAGTGCCGTGGCATTACAGCTCACAGCAACCTCCAACTCCTGGGCTCAAGCGAGTCTCCTGCCTCCGCCTCCCAAGTAGCTGGGACCACAGGTGCCCACCACAACGCCCGGCTATTTTTTGGTTGCAGCCGTCATTGTTGTTTGGCGGGTCCGGGCTGGGGATTCGAACCCGCCACCTTAGGTGTACGTGGCTGGCGTCTTAGCTGGTTGAGCTATAGGCGCCAAGCTGAGTTTTGAAACTTCTAATGAATTAGAAAATAAGAAAGTTAATAAAACAGTGTAAAAGAACTCTTAAAACAATACATTTATTAATGTATAGATGTGTTGGGTGTAGAGGGATGCTTATGATTCTTGGCTAGTGTCCTGCTATAAGAAGAGGGCCATTTTGTTTACTACTCAATTTCCCGGAAGACCCTGAATACTTTAAATTACAATGTGTCTAAAAGGAAAATATCTGTTAGCAAATATAGTATACTCTGTGTAGGACAGCCTGCCCATCATGCTGAGGGTTCTTTTTCATCTTTAGTTAAATCTATAAAACTCCTGCAACTCTTATATTTAATACTGATCCAAAGGCAAATTTTCTTGGTTATAATTACTATGAAGGTGTCTGTTTTGTTTTTTCAGACAACTCTATTGCCCTGGACAGAGTACTATAACTTCAAAGCTCATAGCAACTTCAAACTCTTGGGCTTGGGCAATACTCTTGTTCCAGCTTCCCGAGAAGCTGGGACTATAGGTACCTTCCACAACCCTCAGCTATTTTTAGAGATGGGGTCTCAGGCTAATCTTGAACTCCTGAGTTCAGGCAATCCACCCGCCTCAGCCTCCCAAACTGCTAGAATTACTGAGTAAGCCACCACGCCCAGTCTCAGGTGACTGTTAATTTCACAATTTTCTCAATAGTACAGGACAGTCACCAAAGTAATGAAGGTTAACACTGTGCAAATGAAATGACTTGAATCTCTTTTTAGGCTTAGAAAAAAAATGTTACTCATTTTTGCTACTTTCCTTCTCTTTTCTCTTTAAGGAAATCTTATTAATTAGATGTCATAAGATGAGGACTCTATCTTTTCTTACATCCCACATATTCTACCTTCTTTACAATCTATCAAAGTAACAATCTTCGAAGCCCTCCTTTTAAAATTTTAGTTTAGAGTCAGGTGTGGTGGCTGACACCAGTAATCCTAGCACTCTGGGAGGCCCAGGTGGGTAGATAGCTTCAGCTTAGGAGTTCAAGACCAGCCTGAGTAAACTGAGATCTTGTCTCTAAAAATAGCCAGCTGCATGGGAAGCTAAGGCAAGAAGAGTTTGAGGTTGCTGTGAGCTATGAAGCCACAAGAAGAGTTTGAGGTTGCTATGAGCTATGATGCCACACTACTATACCAAGGGAGACAAACTGAACCTCTGTGAAAGAAAAGAAAAGAAAAGAAAGACCAATGAATGAATGAATGCATGCATAAATAAATACATAAATAAATAAATAAAATTTTAGTTTAGGCCGAGTGCAGGTGACAAAGTGAGACTCCCCCCCCCAAATTTAGTAATTATATTTTCTATTTTCCACTTGTTTCCTATTCAAGAATATATAGTTTAAGCTCAATGCCTGTAATAGATTTGCTCATATCTGTATTTGTTGAAATGTTAAAATGTTCTTCTAGTATTTTAAACCTTTTACTGTTACAGTTTTTCTTTCCATTCTTACTTTCACTATTTCCTTTATTTTTAATTGCACAATCATACATCCCCACATATGCTTTAAAAATATTAGACCTAATAAAAAGATACAGATACAACCTTCTTTGGCAACCTTAGCAGAAAATAATGAAAGAAAATGATAGCTGTATGCCAATCATGCATGGGCAATGTTCACATACCAAAAGCCAATTCTGCCATGCTGACATAATCTTGGACCAAGATGCATTAAAAAGTGGAAAATAAAAATACATATAATTCCAACTTAAATACAGCCTAGTATTTAATGAATATTTGTGAACAATAGAAACGATGCACTAATCAGAACAAAAGGCAAAAAGTCCAACAAGAATTTAGTAAGAATATAAGAGTCTTACTTCTTGATCACAAAACGAATCCTTTCCTTTGCAAGTAATATCCTCTCAAGGCGAGGAATTCCATAAGTAGATGGCCTTCTAAAAGGAATTCCTTCAGGAAGTCCTTCTACATAAAGATCTTCAACATGAGACTGGAAGAGAGGGTATGGAATCGTCACCGGACCTTTGGCTTTTATAGCTTGAGCTTTAAGGATAAAAAAAGAAAGAGATATCATTTCAGCAGTTTGTAGAAAAGAATACTTGACTATGTATTGCTCTTTAACTTTGTAATTTGATCTTTATTTCTGTTACTATAATTGAATCAAAAGAAAAATATACAAAAACTGAAAAGAATACCGAAGACGCCGGTATTCTGTTTAAGAAAGTCTACAGTGAAATATTCCATTACTTTAGTCAATGTAGATATAGCCAGACTTTCTAGTGATATCTGAACCACATTATGAAGCCAGAAAGAACTACCACTTAATATTAGTTAATACATATATTATAAAGTAGAAGAGAAATAATTAAAAAATGTAAACATTTAATACAACCATCATTAAATTATTTATTTATTTATTTTTGTGACAGAGCCTCAAGCTGTCCCCCTGGGTAGAGTGCTGTAGCATGCACAGCTCACCTCAACCTCCAACTCCTGGGCTCAAGCGAGTCTCCTGCCTCAGCCTCCCAAGTAGCTGGGACCACAGGCACCCGCCACAACGCCTGGCTACTTTTTGGTTGCAGCCATCATTGTTGTTTGGCGGGCCCGGGCTGGGGATTCAAACCCGCCACCTTAGGTGTATGTGGCTTGTGCCTTAGCCACTTGAGCCACAGGCCCTGAGCCAAATAATTTATTTTAAATACTGGGCGGCACTCTACTCCTTTGAGCCACAGTGCTGCCCCTTTTAATTTTTTTTTTTTAGAGACAGAGTCTCACTTTGTGGCTCAGTGAGTAGGGAGCTGGCCCCATACACTGAGGGTGGCAGGAACCGGCCCGAGCCAAACTGCAACAACAACAACAAAAAGCTGGGTGTTGTGGCAGGCGCCTGTAATCGCAGCTACTCACGAGGCTGAGGCAAGAGAATCGCCTAAGCTTAAGAGCTGGAGGTTGCTGTGAGCTGTTAAGCCATAACTCTCTACCAAGGGTGACAAAGTGAGACTCTGTCTCTAAAAAAATATTAAAAGGGGTGGTGCTGTGGCTCAAAGGAGTAGAGCGTTGGCTCCATATGCCGGAGCTGGCAAGTTCAAACTCACTATGGCCAAAAACTGCAATAAATAAATAACAATAATAAATAATTTAAAAATATATTTTAAATAAAAGAAGCAGAAGAATTTTCTGAACTGCAAAATTTCATTTCTCTTAACATTTATTTACCAATAGTAAAATAATGCAATAGCTATAAAAACTCAAAAGCATAGGGGATACTGAGAATCTAATACAATTCGGTGGTGTCTCCCGTAAGAACAGCACCATTTTTTTTCCAGGCAGTGTTAAGTCTTATTTGCTACAAATTCTTATTTGTACTAAGCTTTCAAGTATAATATATTACACATTAATATTAGACACGACATCCTTTGCTGATACACTAAATCTGAGTATCATTTACATATCATAATTCCCCCTAAGGTAATTACCATTGCTTTGAAATTATAAAATGGGATAGCTATAATTTCACAACAGCTGTAAACATTATTTTCTTACATGCAAAATAATCTTTTTTTTTTTTTTTTTGAGACAGAGTCTTATTATGTTGCCCTTGGTAGATTGCCATGACTCACAGCTCACAGCAACCTCAAACTCTTGGGCTTCAGTGATTCTCTTGCCTCAGCCTCCCAAGTAGATGAGACAACAGGCGCCCGACACAACGCCCAGCTATTTTTTGTTGCAGTTGTCATTGTTTTTTCTTTTTAGCTGGCCTGGGCCAGTCTTGAACCCGCCAACCTCGGTGTATGTGACTGGCTCCATAACTAATTTACAGGTGCTGGCAGAGTCATGCAAAATAATCTAATAAATCACAACTGCAACAAGTCCAAAAACATAAACTTTGATTCACTTGAAGAAAGGCACTAAAATGTATAAAACTATTGTAATAAGTAAATTATTTTTACTCCCAAAAGTACTAAATTAGAAGATAGTAAAAATATATAAACAGCAAGCATTTTTATATATTTAATTCAGGTATTATGTCAAGCACTTTTTACTATTTTATCGAATTTTCAAGATAGAGCGTTAGTTCTCATAACCACAAAAGAGGACACCAAGGCTTAGACAGGAAAAGAAACATGGCCAGGTACCCTGTCCTCACAGCCTGTGGGTGATCAAGTCACTATGTGGCAACACTTCTGCTATGTGCATTAATGTACTTTGAAATAAACCAATTAGGAAAAAACAAAAACAAATTAAAAAATTGCCAAAACAGGAAACTATTGAGAAGTGGGGAAAACATAGAGAACCTTGAAGACCTAAAAAATACTATGGAAAAATTACTTAACTCATTACCAAATTTGCTCTAATTCTGAATTTTCATTCAGAGTAGGTAAAAACTAATAACGAAACAACCAATGTTCTTTTCAAATTTATGAAAATATCAATATGGTTTATCACATTTAAAATTTCACCTCAGAAATTCAGTTAAAATTCTGTGTATCGGCTCGGCGCCTATAGCTCAACCGGC